ATTATGACCAATAACATCAGCTTATTTCCATAAAATGCACCCCATCGCCTAAAAACTTTGGAAACATCTTTATTGCTGTGAAAGGAGTTGTGGGTGTCAAGCAAGGATCTAACTGAGCAGAAACTCCATCAACTCTCTGAGCTACGCCACCTTCTTAAAATTTGGTTCTACCATCCTCCAGCTTTTCTGTCTCTCTTTTGCCTTCCCCTTTCTGAATTACATTACAAGGTAATGTTCATTACCTTGTACATTAACAATGGGTACTAAGTTTGTCAGCATGATATAACAATGCTACTGGTTAGGAGTGATGCCAGAAGTCATAGCTACTTGTTCTTAAATATGACTTTGTCTTGTTGGAAATTCTTGATGGGAAAGACACTCTGACTTTCCACATTCTTTTCTGAGTCAAACTCCCATCTGCTCCCAAGTGTCTCTATTTGGAAGCTAAAATTTAATACAACAGCATTAGAAGTTCCAGAGCTGCTGGGAAATGTAATTAACTGACCCTCTGAGTGACAAAGTATCCTGACAACAATATTTTCTAGGACGTCCAGTTCCTCAGACAGTAGTAGTGAACTGTTTATGCAGGCTACTATACCATTCTAGGGTTTTGCAGATTGCCTTCTTGGGAATCAGCTTCATGATAGTAACACTGTAAGGATGAGCAATGTGTTTTTAATGTGAATGGGAATACTAGACAAGGAGAAACAAAACTGTCCTCTATAACAGTAGTTCGTTACTATAGTTAATTCAATGATTTCTATTCCATTGGTGCCCTGAACAAAAGCTTTTGAGATCCAATAAGCAAAATAACGGCTTAAGAATATGGGCATCCATCACAAATCGAGGTATATGGGAGGATATACAAAGCATAAGAATTTGTGACCTTGATCAGAACCCATCTGAAAACTTTCTTGCAAAACTTTGCTTGCCAATCATGTTTATTTAATCTTCCCCTTGCAATCTTTTTCACACACTGATCTGGGAGAAAGCAAATTTATGTCTTGCTGTTCTTCCCAGGTCTGTGGAAAGTGGTCTAGTAACACAGCCTGATCAAATATTGTATGAAAATGAGAAAGATAACAATAATAATACTTCAGCCATGGCTGTAGTATTATTATAATCCTTCTCATCTTCTCTACTACCCCCTCTTACTGGTCTCATTTCTATGATTATTATTACTCTGTTGCTTTGCATGTACACTGAGAGCTTTTGAACCAGAGAAAAATCTCTTGCATGTCTATCATATTTGGCCAATAAAGTATTTTATTCTGATATGTCACATGATACCTGGGCTACAATAATCCAGAGATCCATAAATGTCAGCCAAAGGTCTATGCTGCTACTCAGGAACCCAGATGTCTAATGGCTTTCTAACTTCTTTCTATTGATTAAGAAGCTTTGCATACTTTCAGACAGCACAGTCTGTGTCATCACCAAAGTAGTAGAAGAAGCTTCTTGGATGAGAAGCGAAATGTCTCCAAGGAAAAACAAAGTCCAGTTGCCCTTTGAAAAAGCACAAGTAGGATTCTTCCTCTTCCAGATATTGTTGTCGGATCTGAATGCAATACAACCATGGAAAAAATGCTATACAAGTACAAGGAAGGGGAAGAAGTGAGGCTCTCTGCAGAGCCCCTTTTTTCTGGGAGTACGTCCAGCACTTTTTTACAACTAAGTAACACACAATCTGCCTCTGCATATTTACAAAAGGAGGACCAATTCCTCTCAGCTGAATGATCTAGCCCAGGGGTAGGCAACCTTGGCTCTTTTATGACTTGTGGACTTCAACTCCCAGAATTCCTGAGCCAGCCATGCTGAGGAGAAAGGGAGAGGTTTCCAAACTGAGTCATGCCGGCTCAGGAATTCTGGGAGTTGAAGTGCACGAGTCATTAAAGAGCCAAGGTTGCCTACCCTTGATTCTAGCCAATGTTTCCATGGGGTTCTAAATAGAAACTCCACCAGCATAAACCACCAAATTGCCACTATAGCCTCCAAGCTAGCAGAGAAAGGGAGTCAATTTACCCCATTCTCACTTTCCCTACGTCTGACATACATACAGAGAAGTTGCCATGTGATCAGCCAAACAGAAAGGATACTAGTAGATGCTGGCCAAACAACCAGACCCGAGAACTTCACGTTGGATGCCTAATTTGCATTCTGGACTGGCCATTGGTCAATTTATGCCTTTCTGCAGAGCCAAATTGTTCTGAAACAACAGCAGTGGCTTTTTGAGTGCTTCCAATATTGGCACCAGTTTGTGGGATTTTAATTGCTAGGCAAACACATACAAACTAAGGATTTTCAACCGGGTTGTAACGTGCTTTAACTCTAGGAAGGGGCAAGGCATTGCGTGTGAAGTGCCACCTTCTTCATTCTCAGAACCCTCTTCATCCATAAATGTTGCTGCCCCTATGGTTAAATCATTTCTATTACAGGTAGTCCTCAACTTACGACCACAATTGAGCCCCAAATTTCTGTTGCTAAGCAAGATAGTTGTTGAGTAAGTTTTTGCCCCATGTTATGACTTTTCTTGCCACAGTTGTGATTCATTTAACAATCTGTTAAGTGATTCACTACTCCAATTGTTAAGTTAGTTGTTAAGTGAATCTGGCTTCCCCATTGACTTTGCATGTCAGAAGGTCACAAGAGGTGATCATACGACACCAGGACACCGCAACCGTCATAAATATGAGTCAGGTGCCAAGAATTTTGATCAGGGGATCATGGGGATGCTGCAATGGTCATAAGTCACTTTTTTTTCAATGCTGTTGTGACTTCAAATGTTCACTAAATGAACGGTTGTAAGTCGAAGACTACCTGTATATCGGCTATATTAAGCTATTATTTTGTTTTTCACCTTTATTACTTCCATTTTTATTTATTTATTTATTTTTGCTGTTGCAGCCACTGCTACAAATGCTCTCAGTTTTTTTAAGCTACTTTCAGGTTGTTGTGCTAAGAAGGCTAGAAATGCCTTATACTTCATTGATGTTTTAAAATTTGAATAATTAAAAAAATAATACCGGGATCTATTTGGACGACGTGACTGCAGATGTGTGTGTTTGTATGTGAAAACAGGAGGCAACAGCAGACCATTTCTGCAATGTTGCGAGGAAAATTACATGGTTTTTTTTAATATATATATATATATACATGAACTCACCAAAAACTGAGCTTGACTTTATATGCATACAGACCACACACTTACACACCCACAGTGAGACCTGCTTATTGATCCCATGGTCTACTCCCTGCCTCAGATTTCAAATGGGAAGCTGGTAGCTTAGCATGAATGATTCTGTGGCTTCTTTCACTGAGCAAGGAGAGTCAGGCTGGATGATGTATGAGGTCCCTGCCTATTCATACAGTGAATTCACTCAGTAGAATTCATTCCAGTTTATGCATCTATGCATCCCTCCACACATACATGTGCTAGGAAAATTAAGGAAAATGCAACAAGGGAGAAGAAGTACTGTAGCTACACTCCTGCGTATGGCTCTCCGAGAAACTATGTTCATATAGTTTATTTCACAGAATGATTGATAGTTCACACAATATACTGAACCCGAAACTAGTCAAACAGGCTGTTTCTCCATATCACATCACCCCCAGCACCACCCCAGATATAAACTGAGGCCAACTCCAACCTGGCCCATTATGCAACTACCTCTGCTGCATTTGCAATCGATCTGGTTAAACCCCACAGACAGAAGAATCATCATTCAGTTTGAGAGAGCTTAATCAGAGGAAAGTCACATGAGTTACAGTCTCACCCACACATAGTCTGGGGGACACCAAAGGTATGGAAGATAAACTCTGGCACCTGTTTCTAGAACAATTTCCTCTCCTTATCACATGTCACCAAGCTGTTCCTGGCTATTGGTTGACTGAGCTATCACCATGTTTGCACTTAAGGCTATTAGGGTCTATGGGGTGGACCAATCCATGCTCTCATTGGAAAAACTCAACTGAGATGTCCATCCTAAAGCAGCAACAACTTCACCAGGCTTCAAGACAAGTAGCACTTCCTTGATTCACTTCAAACCCTTACACTACAATCATATACATATATCATTTACCTCCAGGATCGTTGTAGCAAAATGTGCTAAGATATTAAGCTGGGAGCAACTTCCAAAATTCTGTTTTGGAAGTCTTTGTATAAGACAGATTTGAATAAGATCAACAGAGACTGTATATTAAATATGAAGCTATTTATACATTGGATCAAGGAGCCCAATAACTTTTTACAGCATTGTTGGAAAAGATGGTAGGAAGACTCTGCATTGGCTTTGTGAAATGCCCAGCATAACTTCATTTTCCTTTCATAAAAATGCTGATGGAAAAGCAGGAAGTGGATGAGTGGAATGCACTGGTTTGAAAACACAAAACACTGAGCCAGTCTTATGTTTAATAGATGAACAAAACGTCTCTGAACCAGCCTTATTCGTATTCGTGTCTCCAGACACGGACTTTTCACTGGTTTCTTCAGTACTAAACACTTGAATCAAAAACCCTGAAGTCAGATGAAATTGTCGAAATTATGGTCTTGAACTTGCAGTGGTTATGTGGATGTTCCATTTCCTGGAATGTGGGACACCTAAAAACAGATGGGCGAAAGTGTCCTGGCCAGTAGGTGACCCAACCATGCAACCAGTGCTGAGACTTGATCAATGCTTCCTCGTTTTCATCTACTGCTACCACATCAAAAATATAATTCAGGGCTCTTATGGTTTTCTTTTTTTTTATTGCATTAGGAAACAAAAAAACCATTAAAGCATTAAGACAGCCCTTTTATGTCCCTGCCAAGAGGATATAGTTGATTTACAGATATGCTGCCGGATAGAGTTTCCTTGCTGAACCGTTCCTCTTAACCTTCGCTCTCGTTCACACGTGCTCTCTCTCTCTCTCTCTCCTTTGCCCGTTGATTTGAAAGTTGATCAGGGAGAAAGTTCACCGGGCAGCATGCGCATGCGTGGATCATTTGTTTCACAGTGTTATGGCTACTCCATGCCACTTCGGAGGATTTGATTGGCTGCGATCAACATGACGCTGATAATAAAGGCCATAGCAAAAGCGCATATTAAGCTCTTCCGTACACAGGTCTGTCGGTTTTGTTTCTGGGAATGCACTAGGGGAAAAAAAGGGAAGGGTTAAAAACAATTCTTTCTGTTTTAAAAACAGACACTTTTTTTTTGAACAATTTTTATCTGGCCTACAAAAGGGGAATCAAATAGCAATAACAAGTAGACTTATATACCACCCCATAGTGCTTTACAATCCTCTCTAAGCAGTTTGCAGAGTGGGCATGTTGTCCCCAACAATCTGGATCCTTGTTTTACCGACCTTGGAAGGAGGGAAAGCTGAGTCAACCTTGAGCTGGTCAGGATTGAACTCCTGGCAGTGCTCAGAGCTAGCCTGCAATATTGCATTCTAACCATTGCGCCACCAAGACTCCAAATGCAACTTCTCCCATGAAATTGCCCCTGGGGAAAATAGATGTGGCTCAGGATTGAATTATTGTGCCTTAGAAGTGGCTAGTATTTACTAAGTACGGAAAAGTAAAAAGCTGAGGCTGTAAGTTTACTTTGCAAATTACTGCACTGAAAAAAGTTGGAAGTCAATGCTTCCCCCCCCTTTTTTTCCCTCTTTATCCCATACTGATCTCTTTCTTTCCCCTTCCCATTTCCCTACTATCTTTATTTTCATTTCTATTTTAGACCATACAATTACAGAACCATTGGGCTGGAAGGGACCTTGGAGGTCTTCTAGTCCAAATCCCTGCTCAAGCTATTCTGGACAATTGGCTTTACTATTTACTTTACTATTCTGGACAAATGGCTGTCCAGTCTCTTCTTGAAAATCTTTTATTATTTATTATGATAATCCTAAGAAAACTCTGAAATAAAAAAAAAGAAATATTGGGTTCTTATTGCCGTGGATCATTAGTGCAACTGATAATGTTAACTTTGCCTTACAATAGAAAGTCTACAGGAAAAAAAAACAACAACTTCAGAGATCACCAAGAGACCAATATCTTCCAGGTGATCTTTTAAAAACGCTCTCAAAAGGAAAGTCGGAAAGAAAGAAGCATTAAGCCACATGATGGCAGTAGATCCTGACAATTTCCTCAACTACTGGGTCTGCATGTTGTGTAAAGCCATGATTTAAGTAATTTGTTAAATAAACCACATTTGTATGAGTTCAAACTATCTTCTTGGCAAGGGAGTGCAGTTTATCAAGCACAATAAATGGGTTTAGTCAACACACACAGCCACAAGCATTATGGCCTATGATTTGCAACCTTGGTGCCTGAGTAACAGATCTGAGTTTTTAAAAATGCTATGATTAAGAATCCCTTTTTTTTAAAAAAAATAGGATTGCCATGTGTTTTATCTGACAGAGAAAAATCCTCTTCAACGGGCTCCATCTAAAAAGGTGGACTTCAGCGTCCAGAATCCTTCATATTGCTGCAGGATATTTCATTGGGAGAAAGTTGTTCTGTCTAAGACAGGGGTCTTCAAACTTGGCCCTTTTATGACTTGTGAACTTCAACTTCCAGAATTCCTCAACCAGGCACACTGGCTGAGGAATTCTGGGAGTTGAAGTCCACAAGTCAAAAAAGAGCCAAGTTTGAAGACCCCTGGTCTAAGAGGTTGTTCATTCCTAGTTTGTTTTAAAGGTAAAAGAACCACAAAAAGAGAGAGGAATCAAAGTAATGGCCTTTGGTGGTTCCTTCACTTTATTAAACAGCATAGCTAGGCTCTACTATGTTCAACAGAACTTATTCCATATAGGAGTAGACTTGTGACTGGTTGCTTAGCGACTATGCAAACTTACAAAATAGATCCCCCAAAGGTACTTATGACCCGGATTCAAATTTCTGATAGAAGCCCCCCTGCCTTCCATGGTCATATTTTAGATGCTTGACAACTGACCCGCATTGATGGTTGTTTGCAGTGTCCCTGAAGCGGCAGAGTCAAGAGAGGAATTACCCTAGAATCTCTACGTAGACACAGACTGACTCAGTCCAACCTCCTCTTAACTTCCATTAACCCTTACCGAGCACTAAAATAGTGCTAACTGTTAGATTCCTGTGCATAGTGCATAGTTCCATTAAATCAGTTTAATTGGAAATTCATGTGTAGTCCTGGTCTTTCATATCCTATAGTCCCACAATTCATGATTTTCTTTGCTGGAAACTAGTGTTTACTTCCGGCCATTGTGGACAATGGTTCACTTAATGGCCACGGCATTCATTTAATGACTGCACCGTTTGCTTTACGAACATCACATTTAAATAAGGAATGCTGCAAAAAAAATGGAAAATCGGGTTTGGTCATGTGATTGCCTCAACTTACAACTTTCATAACATATGACAGAAATTCCAGGCTCCATTATGGGAGAAAGTTGAGCACTACCTGTACAAGTGAAACATTTCACTTATTCAATGTGCTGTGAGGAAGAAGAAAGTCAAATCATTTTACATGCTATATGTATGACAGAAACCCACCTTCAAATTCCGTTTGACAATTACCAGAGTTCTCGTTTAAACTCTCCTCTTCATTGATGATAATATTTTCAATGTCCTTCATTGTTAAGTGGTCCTGGAACGCATGGTAGAGGATGTGTTTAAGCTCCTCCAATGTTATCCGTTGCATGTCAAACTGGGGAAAAAAATGAGAATTTAGTCAGAATTTGCACTAAAGCACTATCAAATGTTCTTGCACTTTGCCCAAATCTGCCCCCCCCCCCCGATTTCACAAGAGATATACAGTATGCCCATGAAGAAATGGCCTCTTCTTTGTTCTCGGAGCTCAAAACGAAGCTAGGGGTTAGCCGGTGAAACGGGACCTCCCAAATCCAATAACCAACTTTTATTGGGTTAAAATTGTACAGCTCTTGAGATCACCTCAGGGTGTCTGTGAAATCTGCACTTTTTTTTTTACCAATTGTTTGGCATCCTTTCAAAAATCCTGTCACAAATATGACTGTAAGAAGGATAGCTGGATGGTCCTTTGGAGGCTGACCTCAGTATGAGATGCAGTGATGTGGCTATGGAATCTATGCAGAGATATAATTTCTTTGGTTATGTCATGAAGCGCCATTTTGAAGAACCTTTCAAAGTCATGTCTAATAAGAGAACATAGAACATAGAACATAGTGTTTATGGAGATTCTCAATCATCCAAGTCATGGTTGTCCCAAAGATATTTTTCCAAAAGGCAACTAGACTTAAGTGAACTGAACTGAAGAAGCTTCTGAGAAGTGAAACGTTTTCAAGGAAAAAAAACCAAGGAAGTCCAGTTGTCTTTTGGAAAGACACCTTTGTGATAGTCTTCTAATCCAACCCCATTTGAGCAGGGCACCCAAGACTGCACACCCAACACAAGGAAGCAAGCATTTTATCCCAAGATAGCAACAAATTGTGCCTCTTGGGTTGAATGAACACAATGCATGTACATATATATTATAATTATAGATAGATACATAAACATCTAACTTAAAAAAAACATATAATCCACTTCTGTCCTTTACTTTCCTCACAAACTCATTAACTACTTCTTATTCTTTTATGTCACTCCAATCATTATTTAAATATTCTGTTATCTCCCTTTATTTAATCTGTAAAATCCTTTTATCATTTTGCAATAAATTTTCAGTGACAACATTTGAAGAGGTCAGGGAAATGAGCAGTTCCGTTGAGAACTCATAATAGAATACTTATTGGTGAGTTCTCTATGGATTCTGTATATTTTTGTGAATTAGATATTATATGTTGTAGCTGAACAAAGAGCAAAAATCTCAAAACCTCTGCATGGTAGGTTCACAATAACAAATAACTACAGAAACCTAAGTGGCATAAACCACAATGTAGCAGAAATACAAGCTACATCAAGTGTCAGATCTTAAACTCTAAAACTGGTTGATGCAAGGTACACATTTTAAAGAGTGAGCTTGATAGAAAACTGAAAATATTGTTTTCCTGTCCCCCCACGAGAAGTAGCCAAACACATTTTTTAAAAGCATCTCAGGAACTGTGGTTGTCACAAATGACACTAGCTTTTTATAGTAACTCCAGATGCGAGAGAAAGGAAATGCAGAGTTTGTAAATCACTCAGTTTATGGCTTGGTAAATCAGCCAGTCAGGTGGGCATCACTGTCAACTGTGAATGATAAAGGATAAAACTGATTGATTGATTGCTATTTTTAGTAGTGACTGTGCAGGTGAATTGAAAAGCTGCTGGTTGGATGTGTGATAACGAAGAGGTAATCAAACCAATTTTCCAACACCAGGTCTTTTTTTTTTAAAGTTTTTTTTATATCACAGTTTTCAGTGGGTCACACAAAAGAAACTAAAAAAGCCCTTGCAATTATTACCTAGAACTCTGCATTGCACAAAGACCATACTGTATTTTAAAACATAAACAGAAAACCAGTCCTCTGAATAAGAAGGAAAACAGCCAGAAATAATGGAAGTTATTATTTCAAATTATTTGGAGGGTCAGAAGCTGTGCTAAATGCTCTTACTTTCAGATATGAGGTATAAGGTTGTTACAGCTAGAACTGTAAAATAAAAATAAAAATACAGGTATTCCTCATTTACTGATTAAAATTGGAATAGGCAACTCTGTTGCTAAGTGATATGGTCATAAAGTGAAACACCATGTGACCTTGCCTGAGTTACAGTGTGAATTAATCAATTTTAGATGCAGCTAAGCAAACCACCATGGGCCATTAAGCACAATGCTACATGACCATGACTTGTGACTTCCTGCTGGCTTCCCCATTTACTTTGCTTGTCACGGTTGTAAGCTCGCAGGGAAGGCTGCAAATACACACGGCGATGTTGCAGTGGCTGCAACTCTGAGGACTGGTTGTAAGTCTCCTTTTCAATATTGTCATAACTTTGAACAGTCCCTGAACAAGTGGTTGGTGGGGGAAGATTAGAAGCGACTTTTGCTGGCTAGGTTTCAGCAAGTGACAAAACATAGTTGCCTATAGTTACTCTCAGAAGCTAAGAATAATCCTGGTTATTCAAGAGGATTCCAGGACAGTTTTCTATAACAGAAAGATTGCAGATGAAGAAAATGGTGTTTTCTTCTATATTGTTGTCAAGAAAACAACACCAAAGCTGAGCTTGACTCAAAGGACACATTGCTTGGCCTCAAACACTAAGTAATATCAGTTAGATATCAGATATCAATATCCCAGATCGTCCTAGTGGATGATCACTTGACTATAAGCCAGAAGTGTGCAGCAGCTACCAAAAAAGCTAATACAATCCTGGGTTGTATAAACAGAGGCATAGAATCAAGATCACACGAAGTATTATTACCGCTTTATAAAACCCTAGTAAGACCACACCTGGAATACTGCAGCCAATTTTGGTCACCATATCACAAAAAAGATGTCGAGAGTTTGAAAAAAATTCAGAGAAGAGCAACTAAGATGATCAGAGGCCCAGATACTAAAACATATGAAGAACGGCTGCAGGACTTGGGTTTGGCTAGTCTAAAGAAAAGAAGAAATAGGGGAGACATGATAGCAGTGTTCCAGTATCTGAGGGGCTGCCACAAGGCAGAGGGGGCCAGGTTGTTCACCAAAGAACCAGAGGGCAGGACGAGAAACAATGGTTGGAAACTGATAAAAGAGAGAAGCAACCTGGAATTAAGGAGAAACTTCCTGACAGTGAGGACAATTAACCGGTGGAACACCTGTCTGAGATGGTATAGGTTCTCCTGCTTAAGCAGGGGGCTGGACTAGAAGACCTCCAAGATCCCATTCTATTCTATTCTATTCTATTCTATTCTATTCTATTCTATTCTATTCTATTCTGATTTGGATGGAAGACCACTTAGATCAATGTTGTTCAACCTTGGCAGCTTGAAGATGTGTGTATTTCAACTCCCATAATTCCCCAACCAGCATGCTGGAGAATTGAATTCACTGTGCTTTCTTTTCAGGCTTTTAAAACAGTGAAATTGGGTCATGATGTTCTCGAGTCTCACTTACCAGAAATTATAGGTAGTTCTTGACTTATGACCATAATTGGAACCAGAATTTCTATCATACATCCTTGTGGTCACAAATCAAGTTGGACCTGATGATACAACAATTTGTTATTAAATGAATCACTATGGTTGTTAATTGAATCTAGCTTTCACCAATGGGCATTTTTGCCTCTTTTTTTTTGTTACCTTAGAGTTGGATATAAAATAGAGGTGGAAAAAGTGGATATTCTATCATTAGTTTCATCTTAAATTATTGATGTAATGAACATTATTTGGCTTTTTCATTTAAAATTAGGTATACTCGGGTTTCTTCTCAAATTGTATAAATCTTGCCTATTACTGATATTTTTAAACTGACCTGGAAAATTTTGTTTAGAGAATGAAAGAAAGTGCTATAAATTAATAGTGGTGTGAAACGAAACCCTCCAGCAATTTTTCACAATCTTCCTGCTTTCCTGGGAAAGATACTGCTTTTTTTGGCCTCTTACCAAGGTCATTTTAATCATTTTCATGAATAATCTTTGGGAAACATCCATCAGAGCTGAAAGTCTTTCTTCTTTGCAGAGATTCTCGGAATAATCTCACAACCAAGAGAGATGGCAGGATACACTGACCATTCTAAGAAGGTTTGAAGTGAATAAGGCATAGATGCCCTAAGCTTTGAATCCGTGGGCCAAAGGAACACAACTTGAGGATTTCTTGGCAATAGTTCAGATCTGATTTTCCACTGAGTTTTTCAGAGTTTTTATTCCTGACTTTTCACAATAGCCCTGGTGATTTCTCATCTAAGGATTAACTTAGCTTAGCTCTTGCTTAGTATCTGAATTTTGACATGGAGGTCAAAATACTCCACTTGGTAAGATGGGGCAGGAACAGATTTATACCATATGAACACCTGTAGATAATATAGGTAGTCCTCAACAATTGAGCCCAAAATTTCTCTTGCTAAGCGAGACACTTGTTATGTGACTTTTGCCCCATTTTATGACCTTTTTTGTCACGGTTGTTAAGTGAATCACTGCAGTTATTAAGTTAGTAACACGGTTATTAAGTGAATCTAGCTTCCCCATTAACTTTGCTTATCAGAAGGTCGCAAAAGGTGATGATGTGATCCCAGGACACTGCAACCGTCATAAATATGAATCAGTTACTTAGCGTCAACATTTTGATCACCTGACCTTGGGGATGCTGTGACTGTCATAATTGTGAAAAATGGTCATAAGTCACTTTTTAGTGCTGTTATAACTTCAAATGGTCACTAAATGAACTGTTATAAGTTGAGGACTATCTGTAGTAGAAAAGAGAGATAATTTATTTAAAAAATGATCCTTTTTCTCTATTTCTCCTTTAAGGGTTGACCCCACCTTACACAAAAGCATGAAAAAATGTATGCAAAACAATTGGCACATCAACAGTAAAGGAACAAGCAGTCAAGAAATAGGCTGCAGACTAACATTTGCTAGAGAAGACATAAAGACCTTGGAAAAGATATTCAGATGCCAGGATGTAGCTATTATCTATAAAGATCAGGATTGTGCAAACTGTGGTATTCCCTGTGACACTCAATGGAAGCAGGATATGAGTATTGAAGCTTTTGAACTTTGGTGTTGGGGAAGACTCCTGAGAATATTGTAGATAGCCAAGAAAACAGGC